TATAAATTTCCATGATACCAAATCAAAAGCTTTTTCAAAGTCAATCATAAGAAGCATTCCAGGTATATAATTGTCGTCAGTATAGTTCATAATATCATAAATAAGCCTGGTGTTTTCGCCAATGTAACGCCCTTCTAAAAATCCTGTTTGATCATTATCTATAAGTTTTCCTAAGACTTTTTTACCCTACCCGCTATAACCCCTGATGCTATTTCATAAACAATTTTAAAAGTGATATCGGTCGCCAATTTTTAATGAAATGTCTTGGTTTGTCCCCTTTTGGAATGCACGTAATAATACCCTGTTTTTGCGTAATAGAGAGTTCGATCTAACAACAAAAATACCAATCTGATTCCAAAAACATTTAAAAAATTCTGAAGTAAATCCATCTGAACCTGGGCTTTTATTATTTTTCATTTTACTTAAAGTTTTCCCTGCTTCCTCCAATGTTATAATACCTTATAACTTTTCTGATTCAGTAACATCTACTTTTGGTACATTGCAATGGGATAAAAAAAAATCATTCAAATTAATATCTTCTATATCATTCGAATCATCTCATAATTTTTCATAAAAAACTTTAACTGCATTTAAAATGTCATCCTGGTCAGATATTATCTAATTGTTTTGTTTCTGTAACTTAGGAATGTTTTTGGTGGTATAATTTCTATTTTCTAAGTCCAAAAATTATTTTGTAGGTTTCTCCCCTTCCTCTATCCATTTTGCCTTTGATCTAATAATATCCCCCTTTGTTTTGTGTAACCTAATTGCTTCAAGTTCCTTTTTCTTATTTTCTAAGTCATTTATATTAACATTATCTTCATCTTCTAATTATTGTATAGTTTTTTTCAGACTATCTTCTCTGATATTTTTTTTTATATAGCTCGAATATGAAATAGTTTTCCCCCTTATTTTCATTAAAAGAACTTCTAAAAATAGCTGGTCACTGATAGTAAGTCTGATTGTAAGTCTATGTCTGAAATAGTAGAGATACTATCTAAATTATAAACTGGCAAACAGTATTGAGTTTTTACTTCGTTAATAAGAGATTTTATTATATTGAGATAGTCCATATCATGTAACAAAGAATTGTTAAGTTTCCATAGCCCCCTCCCTGTCTTAAACTTATTAAATTATATCTGAATGTTAGGAAAAGAGTGATCAGATTTATATCCTGGGTCTATTGAAGAGTTTTTAACACTAGAAAGCATATCATCTGAAATTAAGAAAAAATTCTAGCCTGGCTTGCTTAACTTGGTTGATCTTTCTCCATGTATACCTTCTACTGTCCTCATGTTGTTCTCGAAATATATCAATAAGACAAAAGTTTTCTACAATTTCACATACCTAGCTTTAGGATTATTTATGTTTTTTATAGTTATTGTCATAATCAATCTTAGGATTCAGAACTAAATTAAAGTCTCCACATATCACAACAGAACTGTATTCGAAATCATTAATAGTCTCAGAAATAATATTGTAAAAATCAGGACTATCTTGACTTGGACCATATATAGTAATAAGAGTCATTCTTGATCCTTCAAGTAATATCTAGAGCCAAAAATGACCAGTATTATCCTTCTTTTCTTTGTGAATTTTAAACTCAAAATTATTATTAATACATATAGCTACCCCTCTGGCGTTAGATTTATTAGAGTTAAAAGAAACCTTTCATAATCCCACTCACTTCTTAAGAGACTTTCTTTATCCTGAGTAAAATGCGTGTCCTGCAGACAAAAAACATTATACGAATGATTCTTAAAATAAGAGAAAACATCTTTTTGTTTAAATCTACCACATAAACCCTGACAGTTAGTACTCAGATTCGTTATGTCATTAGTAGCCAACAATCGCCTAACAGTCTAAACAGCGTCATCACAGGGGTTCGTGACAAATTATATAATAAATGAGATGGGTCACATATATGTGTTCCATCTCATGTATACCACACCAACTGTAACGATCCCCTGTGACGTATTAACCAAACATGCAAGGCCCGTCATATATAGAGAAGAAAATAGAACGTAAAACATGCAAACAAAAAGAAGAAACATAAAAGATAGCATATATGGTCTCAGTCGTAGACAACTGTTAATTTACGTGCCCAAGAGTCACTTCGACAAACAATAACTATCGTCTCAATGCAACGCACACATTGCACAAGAGGTAAACCGGATGCTACCTCACTATAATACCCCACACTGTATTCCACCCGGTCACACTATACTGTCAGCATATGATGAAATAATTTCTTATTATGTCACAAGAAGCTAAAATCCTGCATGTTTGGAAAAAGGAATAAGCGTACGGATATTTGACCTATTACACTCACAATACGCCTCCCTGAGAACCGATTCCTGTCTACCACGTAAACAGCAGTAGCTCTAAACCAGTGACTTGTCTAGCGCCGGGATAGACCTGCCATCTACCTAATGGTTGTCATAAAGTCAAAATAGTCGTTATGTCCAATAGGGCTATTGTTATGCCAGCTTTAGGCCTTTGGTATGGTAGCTTCTATATGATATTTCGTTTCTTGGCTTTGTCAACCACGAAAACCCACCAAGGCGAAAAAAACCAAAAGAGACCAAACCGAAGAAAATATTGTTCAAAAACGTAATGGCGTCTTTCCTCCCTTCTTTTGGCGTTGTTTTGTTATTTCGATTTGTCGTCAGACGTCTTTGATCGCGGACAACAAAGCGATCTATATCTTTTCTTTTTTCAATTCGCTAATTTTTCGAATCTAGACCTCAGATTGTGATAGTGCCGCTCTAACCGACTGATCTACCAGGTCAAGCAAGTTTCATGTACCAACTAATCAACAGTTACATATATCCAAAACGAAATTAAAGGGAGGTTACTGTATATACAAACAACTAGAGTGCAGTGGGACAGGGATTCTCAAATAACAAAAAGGACTAGTCCGAGATTTGAACCCTTGACCTCAGACCATTACTGTGATGTTTCGTCGTGTACAGTGCTTTAGATGGCACGGCAAAACTTGGCAAACACATTTATGTCAGCCATGACACTGTTTATTCTGTTTATTCTCACTTCAGGTTACATGCATATTTCGGAGTGACATAATATATAGGAATTATAAACATACGGAACGATGCTACAATTACACTGACATTGCAACCAACGGAGTTACCTAGTTAACAGAATAGTAATTGCCCAGCCAGCTGTCCTACTGTTATATCATAAACCAAATTAAGGGAGGTTAGCATGTGTACCATACCACTACATCGGAACTCTTCAGTGGTTTGTCTACAATAGGACAGGAATCGTTAATGGATGTTTGTTAATATTTTCCAATTTAGAGGTGAACAAAAATATTTAAAGACCACACTACCATAGGCTAAGACATTTATATATTTATATATTGGATTTGTTGTTTTATTATTTCATGGAGACTGTCATATGTTGTGATATGTAAATGTTCCTTTTCCTGTCTTGATAAAGGGGCAGATCGCACTAAACAGTTGACTTTCTTTGTCTGCACTGTCGTTATTTCTGCTTTGCCCATATATCTATTTAAGTAAAACGCACCCAACCAACATTTGTTTGTTCGGGTCCAGTGCCAATATGGGACACACTACTTTGATAGGCGTGAACTTTTTTGTGCCAGATTGTCGCCGAGGCTTGAGTGATCATTATCAGAATCAGGGTCACTCGATCTCTTGAAAGTGTCGTGTTGAAGCGTTTCCGGTCGTTATTACTTATGAGACCTATATCTATTTTATATATTTTATATTTTATTTTTATACTTTTTTATAGTCTGAAGAATCTCCTGGATGTTGAGATTTTTTTCTTTTCATAGTATTTCTTCGTCCGTAAGGAACAATGCACTGCTGTTGTAACTTTTTTTTTTTTTTTTTTTTAATACGATTAAAAGTACATTTCTATCAAAATTTAAAATATTGATCTTCAATTTATTTAAATAAAGTTCAAATTTACTTACCGGTTTAACCAATTTTTTATTTACTAATTAGCACGCTTTGCGTAAGGCTCGTGGGTGGAAAACATTCAAACTGTAATTACCAGGGTTTAATTAAAACAATAAGTAGACGCGTGACGACCTATACTGTAATGTACAAAGGACCAGAAGCACTTTACTCGGCGTAGTAACAATACGTATTTACCTAATTAAATGGGTGTCATTTACAAAGTTGTGTCAGCTTTACACTTGCATTTCTATCACGCTGTACACAATCATAGTTGTTTGCAATATCATCAAATTCAGTGGCAATGTAATGCTTTAGTCCTTAGATGATACATGTACGGATGGAATTGATAATAACATTCAGATGAATATCTGAAATTCAGTATTTCTACAACGAACGACGGTTATTATTCAAACTAATTAATTTTTGGACGTCTTGACTAATGACGATATACAATATTTTATTATCTCATTGACGTCAATGTCCCAATGAATTATTCATCAACCGGAAATGTCATCCTACATCCGGGTCGTAACATTGGCAAGCATCAAGCTTTATAGAATGAGGAGGGAAATTTCAAAATTAAGATAAAATTGATCACGTTCAGCATAAATCATTTATATTTTTCTTAAAGAATAATCGTTTTCGCTAGCGAATCCGTTACCGAGCTGACCGCATGCTAATCCTCGTCAATGTCAACAGTATTCACCGGAAACGCTTCAACACGACACTTTCAAGAGATCGAGTGACCCTGATTCTGATAATGACCACTTAAGCTTCGGCGACAATCTGGCACAAAAAAAGTTCACCCCTCTCAAACAATACAAGCCACAATTATCAGAGGTGATTGTTGTTAGGAGCATGTACAATGCAAGATGACAACGACTTCATCACTCAGTCAAGTGTCAACAAATCAATATAAAATATGGACACGTTGCTATGGTAACACGATGCAAAAGTAGCTCTGACGTCATAAGATATAAATGCGTAGGATACGTTGGTTACTTCGGCTGCTGGCAGATCGCTGAGATAGCGATGTCATACGTACGGTATAGCAGGAAAATCGATTTTAGTCCCTTCCCACTTCCCACGCAATCTGAAGCTTACAGGCAAGGGTATGAGCCTGGCATCGGCAGAAACACTTAGCACGAGTAACGGAACGGACGTCCTCGGTAGTGGTCAGCTGGTCAAACAATTAACTGGACAACACAAAAGCAGGAACATACGCACGCAGACAAAGCCAGCACTCGAGCAACAAACGACAATACAATAACATTTCGAACAATTGTTTTGTTAACTTTTCACGAATTCTTGTCACGGTCGCTATAAAGGAGACAGATCAAAGACATCAGCGTTAAAACTTTGAATCTGTCGACTCGACAAGAATTCTTGTAACGGTTGTTTTTTTCGGACAGATTTGAGAACAGTTTCGTGTAGAGCACGTGTAAAGCATGTGTCACCAATCCGAGGTAGTGTGTACAGTGTTGCTGGTATGTGTAATAGGGGTGTTATCCGGACCGCTTAAAACGTCAACAAGTCAAGGTAAGTTTTCTATCATTATAAGATATATTATCTTAATTAACTAATGTTAAATATCGTAATTAAGTTTGATCTTAACAGCTCACCAATTTACGTGGTTATGAAGAATTAACAAAAGTTAATATGACCACAGGGACATCGCGAGAATTGAGGTGAAGACGAAACAATCGCTCTCTTTAACATGTGTTTTGCCAAAAAAAATGTAATAATCTGGAAACGGATTTTAATTTTGTATATACAACTGTTTATTCATGTATCCTAGATAATCAAATACAGGATCAAATGCATTTCTTGAAACATTTTATCATAAAAAAGGTATACATTTAATTACCTTTTTGTGAAAAGCAAGCTAAATATCTGCTGAATGTAATGTATTTTCCTTTACTTGTCTACATTACCATTCTGTTGCAATCACCTAGAGATTTATCCTGTGGTAAATACTTGTCCAGACAGACAAACGTTTCATTGTCAATAGGACCATGCAATTTTTGGAAAAATTATTACTGTATATCATTTTATTTTCGTGTGTATTTTAAATTTCTTGGCTCAATTTTTGCAAAAAAATTAAATACTCTCGCGAACAAATCTTCCTGCAAATTGACGCCGAAAATAATTTATTTCGAAAATAATGGTTGGCTGTTTAAAGTGACGGTGGTCAACAAATCTTATTCACAGTATTTCATTTTGGTTGGAAAACCAATAATACGATATTTGTAAGTCAAATGGAGATATGAAATTAAATTATATTTGTAAGCAATATTTTCCACCATAGAAAATTGACCAATTTTGATCACATCAGCCGCTGATACCGACAAAGGCTTTTATTTTGTTTCAAGATCTTCTGGATATTATTGTCGATCTGACAAGCACTATTGTTTGACAAAATTAAGCGATTAAACAAAAACACAATAAGCCAAGGGAATACAAATATTTACAATTACACCTTAATATGACATATTTAAAACCAGTGTATAGGGTTTTAGTGTTAAAAGCGACATTTTACAGTTATAAATTAACTCAGCACATCATATGTAGCGGAAGTGATATTGTTTCACTGGATAACTAAACTGATTAGAGAGGCTGTCTAAAGATCTGAGGCCCCGGATTCCAGGTTGACCTTAGTAAATGTCAATTTACTGTAACATATGGCACCAAACTAAACATACCCAAGGACGTTGCTATAAGGTCTTGTGTTTTGAGGGCCGAATGGAACGGAATGGTCGATAACCGGCGTTCAAATTGCTTAATTACTTAAAGCGTCTCTCTAGGTTTCTGTGGTCCTGGGTGCAAATGCCAGTATGGCGGTTGCATTTCTCCTTTTTTTTAAACTTTAATTGTCAAATCACAGCTGTTTTGCGTTTCCATTATTGTAAAACAGGTAAAATCCTGTACAAAATCATGGAAACGTATCGCTGACATCGTTATTGTCATGGCATTGCATATGTGACGTCATAATAAACTATGACTGCTGTTTAATGTTCTATTTATAGAACGGAAAACAACAACAGCAGTTGCGATTTAAAATCAATTCTGAACTTTATTACAGAAATAACGCGCCAGCATATTTCTCGGTTTTTTTAAAGCGACTTTATCCCAACTTCATTTGATATTAATTTTATTCTAAAATATCTTTCGATAAAGCACTACGACCTTTACTGAAAGGTCATCTGTCGTTTTTCTTATTATTATTATTGATTCGATAAACGGACTTTTGTCTATCCTTAACTTTAAAATAGCTTTGTTATCAATCCCACTTAACCATATTTAGTTTCAATTTACCGACGCCATGTGTCTATAGCTACACACACTACCATAACAATGGCAAGTGGTATAAACAGACCGGCACTATCCTTCAAGTTCGCTAATGTATATGATTTACAAGTTTACGATCTCCTTCTCCTGGTGATATATTCCTGCTGTTTATCATCGTGGTGTTTATTTACAGCTGAGGCAAATTATCACGTACACACAGATCCAGATGTGGGTCAACAAAATAGATATTGGACACAGTTAAGTTATCGGACATCATGTACTTTGAGCGATACACCTGAAGTCGCTTACACATTTAACCACTATTCTGTTTACGTTTACCGTTGTTTTGTAAAGTTATCGCCGGAAGATAATAACATCATTACATGTATCACCTTCGCGTCACAGAGTTTGGTTATTTGACTGTAGTTAAACACCTTGTTCTTCAAACGAGCATTACTCAAGCCGCTTATTTACTGTAAAACACGTTATTTTTGCGTGTATTTTATTTCACGAACGACTTGAAATTGCTGTGAATCGAGGAAATTCTAGTTTAATATCAATTTCAATTATTTAAATTTTATGTATCTATGGATCGAAAATAAGCAAAAATTAAATTTTTCGGTCGTGACTTCTCATTTATTAAGTTATCAAGACGGGTCCACGTTTGAACATAGGGCCAGACTGTAAGAGACGACCAATATAACCCCCCCCCCCCCCCCCCCCGGGGCAGGCTGTATCCTGCTTCATTTTTTAAGAGGCGACCTGTGTGTCACCCCGCTCAAGCCAGGTTGTATCCCGCTACATTCTATAAGAGGCGACTAATGTGTCCCCTACGCCCGGGCCAGACTGTACCCCGCTACATATCGTAACAGGTGACTAATGTGCCCTCGGGTCAGGCTGTATCCCGCTACATATCGTAAGAGGCGACTAATGTGCCTTCTTTCCGGCCAGACTGTATCCCGCTACATATCGTAAGAGGTGACTAATGTGCCCTCGGGTCAGGTTGTATCCCGCTACATATCGTAAGAGGCGACTAATGTGCCTTCTTTCCGGACAGACTGTATCCCGCTACATATCGTAAGAGGCGACTAATGTGCCCTCGGGCCAGACTGTATCCCGCTACATATCGTAAGAGGTGACTAATGTGCTCTCGGGTCAGGTTGTATCCCGCTACATATCGTAAGAGGCGACTAATGTGCCCTCGGGCCAGGTTGTATCCCGCTGCATATCGTAAGAGGCGACTAATGTGCCCTCGGGCCAGGCTGTAGCCCGCTGCATATCGTAAGAGGCGACTAATGTGCCCTCGGGCCAGGCTGTATCCCGCTGCATATCGTGGGAGGCGACTAATGTGCCCCCCCCCTCCCCCCATTAAAATAGACAGTTGTCTTCGTTGTTTTCTGCTCTGGAAGCAATAGACCTCGATATTTCCTTTTCCAATATTTCATCGGTCTCCCTATGCACTCGTTTTCCTATGACCCTGATTGTTGGGAGGACGGTAAACCCCGTAAAACAAACAAACAATCTCATGCTCAAAATTAGATTCTGTTCTCAAGCTAATTTTCCTGTTTATATAATAAATATATAAAAAATATATACATGATGTATAATATGTAATCAACCGTCCCTTTGAATTTGTTCTGTTCATCTCAGGTAGCGTTGGCTTACAAAATTCTGTTGAGATCAAAGCATAAAAGAGCGAATAAATTATGTATACAAAATTAATCTATGTATGAACATATCTACACGTAAGACGTAAACCATCCTCATTTATCGTCCAGGATAGTGTGGGATAAGAATACCGTCGATGAAGAAAATTATTACCCTCTTTTATTCTTACTCCCACGCGACAGCTATCTCAATTACTGGAGTCGCTCAATACGCACAGACCTATTACGTCACTGTCTGGGCTGCTTTCTCAGAAAAAAATATGGGATGTCTGCTCGAACAATGCATACTTGTAGAGAATGAATATTAAACGGTTGACTGTCTATGTAAGGCCTAAAATAATGGGATGTCTGCAGAATGACGTCATGAATATTCACATGCATATTTACGCGGATGATTCTACTTAATAAACAGGTACAGTCATGACAGAAAACAAAAACAGAAAAAAATTATTATATTGTTAATATAGCATGATGGAAATGAAAACTAAGCGGACACACGGCGATGATGAAACTACAGAAATGATGATAACTTATGGTATGATGAAGTTACAGCGATCGCAACCAAAATAAAACAGCTATTGAAATACAACGATAGTGGACATGCAACACCAATTGAAATAGTAATAAAACAAAGAAGAAACAGGCTGTGTTGGCAATAAAGAAATACTAGAAAAACAATGTGGATAGAAAGAAATGATGGACATACAACAAATGCGGAAAAACGAATAATAGCAGATACTACGGCGCTAAAAATACAGACATCGACGCTAGGAATACAGCGATGCTGGAAATACAGCATCGATGGATAAAAACAGCGATGATCATATGGAAAAACAAAAACGTCAAAAAATACAGCAAAAACATTAAATAAAAATAGCGGAAATATCGTTATGGTAATAACGTAACGCTACGTTGTCTACCGAAGTCTAGTTAGGCCTAATACGATCATTGCATTGCAAGGGATCCCCATGTACGGCCCTTCATAGGTTCCTTCAGAATATCCCAATCTTCAGAAGTTGACATTTAATGTGACACAGGGGCCTGATATAAGTCAATGTTGAATGATCGGTGATGGCGCGTATGTAATCAGTATTACAAAATGTGATCGACGGTCGAATAGAAATGATATCCTCCTCCTACGCGGTCGTCAATTTGGCGCGTTACCCGGATGTAAAGAATTTAATTCCGAGTTATCTTTTTATCTAGCCGTATTCTCCTCCATATATGCAGAGGAGGAAATCGTGTAAAATTTTCATATTGTATTTCCTTTCTCGCTGTAGATTTTATAGCGCGAGGCGATAGCAGAGAAAGCTAATAATACAACCCCCGCTGGACGGCGCGGATGTTTGTCGTCCTTATCAAAGCGAAATAATGTCATAATGGGATGAATGTATAAGACCAATTAAACGAATACTCTTTATAGAGTTGTATGTCGCACCAAACGTGTTGAAATAATTAATTTATTAATTTTAAATTATATTTTGTATGAGTCTCAGCATGCGGAGGTTTATGTTTCCAGGGAGGGGTAAACATATATGAAACAGGAACACGTATAGAAGATCAACTTGTCCCATTTTGTTTTGA